GTGAGGGCATTGAAGTAGGGGCTGCTTCTGCTTATGGGGGACACCTAAAGGAATATATTCTGCCGTAAAACATTTTTATCAACAACGGCATTCTGTGCGAAGAAAAATTTGATGATGTGCGCCATAGGGCAAAGTGACTCTTTTTTTGCCCCCCCTCCCCCCTGTATTCGCAAATATCAACGCTGAGGCTTGACGCATAACAATTTCGCAGGTCACGCGAACAAAATTTGGGCCATACCTAGCTCGCCCTAATCTAAACATAATGGATTTGGCGGTGTAGAGATTTTTGCAGAAGCAAAGATGCCTTCTGAGCAACGTCGAAGTTTGGACTCCCTGAAGGCTTCCTTGGAGGAGGCGTGGAAGGAGCTTGACGTCAGCTACTTGCGGCCCATAGTGATGTCAGTTGAAAAGAGACTTCAAGCCTGTATCGCTACAAAGAAGGCCATCTCGAGCACTTTCTTTAGCACTGTATATGTTCTAATGTATACGAAGATAAACCTCTGAAGATGTAATAAGACTTCTTTTTTTTTAATATGGCCACTAAACAATGCGCCAATATTTAGTAGCCACCCTGTGATTATAATTATTATAATGGTATATAATTATATATAACGTATGATCGGAAAGCTAAAAAATGTAGATTTGGCACATTTCTGTTTTTGCTAATTTGATCAAGCAAATGGTTCCATAGGGACATTGCACCACGAAAGTCGGTGCAAGGAGCACGGATCAGGCTAGTTTTCAGCATGCTCTGGAAAGTCAATTCACTTCACTGCTTTTTTAGTAAACCTAAGCAAAGGTCATATTTTATCAATGTTTTGTAAGTGATGATTGTTATTAATTGAATATATGCAAACGTAGAGGAGTTTACAGCAGTAAAGGGATTGACAGACAGACGACAACGTGATTATCGCGAACTTATCTCACCTCACCATGGAAACGGCCGCCAGAGCTCATCCTAATTTTATCCGCTGACCCACTACAAGCATTCTCGCTATCGTGAGCCTTGTTACATGAGGTAGCGGGGCTAGACTTCTGAAACTGTTAAGGTTTTGTTCAAATTAGATGATTGCATCTACCTGCAGGAATTCATTGGCCACGAGTTTTCTACCGAGCACAATTTATACTCCATCAATTAAACGTACTTTATCGTATTTTCTGCGGGGTCAAAATCCGACTCAATCTCCTTCAGACCGATCAAGCCTTTCATTCCAATGAGGCGGTCAATTGGTACCAGACTTGTCTGAGAGATCAAAACACTGTTTCGTACAGCTACTGGCCACGCAAATCATTTTGCAGGCCATAGAAGCCGTCATTCAATATAGTCACGGTTAACTGAATCGAAGTAGGAATATAGTGACCGGCAACCTCCACAAAGTTTCCTTACTCAAGGAACACGAACAGCCTTTTTGCCTTTACTTGTAACCTTCCAATAAACGAATTGATACTGACCAATATAAGTTTTTTGGTTATAGATATACCCCACCGTCCTCTTCCTCCGCGGGCGTGAATGGTGGGAAGTGTGGCAGTTGAAACGGTCATACTCCCGAAGCTGGCTTTAGTTAACAAGAACACGACCTTCTAGTGAGATACAATTAGAAAGATCTCACTCTTTTTGATATAGATCTTAATTGGACTTTGATTTTCATTACGAGATTGCCTTTTCAGAGAATTTTAATTATGAATTGCATCTGCCAATCGCCTTGACCGTCCTCGTAATTCCGAATTATTGAATATTTCTCCATGAATTTATCTGATCTTAATGATTTTATGGAGAAATGGTAGACTTAAAATCCTGTTTGCACTCACTTCTCTGATGTGGTGATTGGTCACGAATATCCTATTGAGTATTCCTATATCACACTTGACCGATTCTCTTAAGGGTCTTTTCATAACCGTCAACTAACTAGCACACTCTCGTTGTCCCACGACTACAGGACATGTATGCTCGTAGCTTTTAGGTATAGGCGACGCCACCTTTCACGAGGAATAGGCATACAGGGCCCACATTGCTCTGTTTTTTCCTACTAGGCGCTGTTTGAGAAAGTAGATATCAGAACGCACTCTCGCCATGTTGAATTAAACTCCTTCCTTGCCGAAGCGGACGAGACTTATTGCTCTCAATTAACTGGTGCCCTTTTTTACCTCTGCTGGGATTTCGTAACCACTCCAGTGAAGCAGGCTGTGTTGATGGCGATTGCGATATACACAAAAAATGGTGTGGTGAGCTGGGATTCGTAACAAGGCGGATCAGAGCTGTAACTCTGTTAGTACTTCGTACATTAGTTGCATTTGCTACATTAGTTCGGCTTTCACCAGACCGATGGTTAATTGGAATCAACGAGATTTAACCGTCGGACCACTTGATATCGAGAGCTGATAGGAGTGTCCTGGCGCAGCGGTTTTCTTACCCGGACCGAAGAATCGTGACCTCGCAGGAGCTACAGATGAATTGACGCCAGTTTGGAGCGAGTCTTAGCACCGAAATCCTCACACTGATATGGTTAATAAAAGCGTCGGGTTTTCATACTTGCCACTAAACACTGACCGAGTTGTCTGCCGAGAGGCCCATCCGGCTTAATAAGTCAAAGCAGAGGAAGAGTAGCGTAGGAACGACGTTGATAAGTGATGAAATGCCTCTTCCGATGTTCAAAGAAGGGCTTTCGAACGGTTAAAAACAGCGAAATTTCGAATTTTTTTGAGTGGTAACGTGCGTAGAGATTTCGGCTAACGCATCATATCAATCTAACGTTCACACTCACGGAAATGGGAATCCGTTTTTTCATTACCACCAGCTTGGTACAGCGCTCACAAGAGCAGCTTTTATGGTCAATTCGACCCTGATTTCTCAATTCTTGAATCAAGGGTAATAGCTGGTAGCGACACATTGCATCACACAGGACCCTTTTCTAAACAATCGGTGACTTATCAAACGTATCCGAACGAGAAAGCCTACGTTATAGTGTACGGTATTTTCATTAGACTTCTGATTCCTAAAAAGAATCCGATTCCTTTATGTTATGCTAGAGAATAAAGTCAATATTATAGCCGCGCATAGAACATGATTGCGGAGTGTGAGATTACACATCTACAAGAAGAGAATATTGAAACAGGACGCGCCGCTGATTCGGGTAAAGCACCTAGCTCGAGTTTTTGAATCGTATGAATGAAGAATTTTGGTTTCTGATGAATGTTTGATTCATTTGGTAGATAGGCGGTAAGAAAAGATTCAAAGAAAAGCAAAAATAGATAGATTGTCTGCGATCGCGCTTCACGACGATTATTTGATCGTAGCACGCTATACATTCATTAAGTTATAGCAAAAAACCAGTTATCAGCGAACCAGCCTCTCGTTTTGAGTAACACATAGGTGGAAAGCTTCACTTCAAAACGCTTGTTATCGGGAGTGCTTTTTCGGAAAACAAGCTGTGCACACTTCGTTTTATTTCCGTAATTGATCCGTCACGCTCTTTTCGATAGGTATGACCGGCATTAGATCGTGAACATCTAAAAAGGTTTATCTATCTGAGTCCATTACCTCAACAATCTAGCCATAGGTCATTTCAAGCTTGAATGTCGTTGTCAGATGCATTCATAACCTGACTTATCATCACTCGCTCATGGTTTTTTTCGAAGAATATTCGCGCCACTGGATTCTACTCCTCAATGGATTATCGGCAACATAATCTGCGATGTGATTTACTTGCTAGATATGTGGTTTCAGTCACGAATGCGTAAGTTCTCGTGATAATCTTAAGCACCTTCTCAACGGTTTTTGTTTATTTTATATTTAATTATTACGTTGCTTAAGGCAAACGTTAGAAAAGAATACAACACACAGTGAGAAAAATGATGAGTCAAGACAATTATGTAGATAAGATTTCAGCGAATCTCAAATAATAGGATCTTCTGTAAACTTAGAAGTTTAGCAGGACATATTCCTTTGTATTCTCAATTTAAATTGCGAGTAGCAATAGCCACTTGCTATCTTTATAATAGTGTCTGAAGAGCACTAAGCACGAGCGATGTCAATATTTGGGTTCAAAAATGGACAGTTAAATATAAGTTAGGTTAATAGTTAATAGTTTACAGTTCAATATTTAATAGATAGTTAAAGGCTCTACGATTAATGACAAGCTGTGGCATGCATATTTTGTCTGGGGCAAGCGATATTAAATTACCGCTAAGAAATTGGATGCTATTGCGAAATAGCCTTGAGCCGGGTTGTCTTTAGCAGAACATCAATTTTTGCCCTTGTGAAAAAGTACAGCGTTGTTAGAATGCCTTGCAATGCTCATGGCTTCTTCTAATATTTCACAGCCTCTAACCTGTAACCCCTACGTCGCACATATTGGCCATTTTCACTCTTGGCTAACGGTCGGCTGGCCCAGCCTAATTGCATGCTAACTACTTTATGGCTTCAAATGCAATACACACTTTTCATTCTCTCAGACATCTTCAATGGCCTGATTCAATCCCAGCCCCAAACTTATTGAGCGTCGCTTTCTGCACAGCCACTATATTCTTATTGCTCATGGAAACGTTTTTGAGAGCCAGATGAGATTTTTTTGGTAATCTATTATATCTCATGCGAGCTAATTCCGGGCAACTATTTCAATGAATACGGGGCATTGAGGTGCAGAATACCAACTACCATACAAATTTAGAATCATGCCGGCCCTTTTTGAGTCAGAGAATGGGAGTAGGTCTCCAGACGTAGAAACGTGAGGTTCCAGGTGCATGACACATGTCCATCTTTTTTTTCCCGAGTACATGCCCGCTCTTAGGATCACTCCCCAGAAAGCTCCCGTAGCTTTCGACAGCGTCCTGATTTTTTCTGCGTTTTTCTGGTTATATCATTAATAAAAACTCTAACCCTGGCCATGATGGCCATAAAAAGACCACGACATGGAGCTAATTGATTTTGATTCCCAGTATACTGACTCATTCACTAATAAAGATATATAATAAAATACGTTTACCATCACTTATTTTTGGCGATGCATCGCAGGTGTGTGGCACGGCTCTCACCTCCCTGGTGATTAGTAGACATAGAAGAATTGATGACTATATTTGAGAAATCACGGGAGCGAAGCCGTTCATCACTGAAACTGTAATACTAAGAGAGCGCACGCCATTACGCAACTTATTTGAAGTAACTAATTAGATTTTGACGTGCAACATTGAACTTCAGAATTTCACTAAAGGGGGGATACCAATGCGAAGGAGCGACGTTATTGTTAACGTTTCACGTGCCATGTACAACTTATTACAGTTCAGCTGATGAAGGGCGCTTAACATTATTATTTGTATGACTGACTACAGTGAAATTTATTAGCATAAGAAGCAGCGAATCATGAAACCTCGCTACGTCTTTTTTTAGATTTCTACGAACATTGTTTGTTACAAGTGGTCAGATTCATCAACAAACAAAAGGGAGGCTACTTTCGTCAAGGTCGAAAAGTACATATTCGAGAAATGCTAACACTTTTCAGATTTTATTTTTTACCGTTTTTTCAGCGAAATTCCCAATAGATATCCTTTCAATCCTTCCACCGAACCTTCTCACAACTTAGTCTTCTTCAAATACGACCTAAAGTGTTCCGGTTGATGATTTTAATAGAGGAATACGAAAAGGGAGCGTTGGATCTTCTTCACGCCAAAATTGTTACATTATATGCTGCTTAAAAGAAGAAGAGTAGGCTTTGAATCCCGGCTTTAGTAGCTCAACCGTTCTGACTATAGAAAATCTGCACCTATCAGAAATAATGGCAGTAACCAAATTCCTGAAATTGATAAGGCACAAACCGACCTTTACAAACATATGAGAGCAAGACATTTTGATGGCGGACAATTTGAAACAGAAATGCGATATCATTGAATACCCTCCTGTACATCAATGACTTAGATTCAAGCGAAGCAAGCGGTTTTTGTAATCGGGTAAAGCTTGTGGATAGGCAGGATTTGCATAACATCGATACATCAAAATTCTAGTAAAAGTCTGTTGAACCTTTTCAATTTTAGCTTGAAGTTTCTTAATGTGAGGGCTCCATATCTGCGAACCATATTCAAGTATGGGAACAACATATGCTTTGTAGAGTTTCAAAAAGATTGAAACATCATTGTGCCGAATATTTCTAAAGATTGCAAATAAGGTCATGTATGCTTTACGAACAATAACATCAATGTGATGCGAAAAATTTAAATCAGAATTTATGAGGAACCCTAGGTCACGAACTTCATAGGAACTAGCGAGTGTAATATCGTCAATTGTATATGGTGTGATTCTGGCTCTTCCTAGGTGAAGGACCGACGTTTTCGCAAAATTTATAGGTATTCCCCAATCCATAGCCCACTTCATCATGTTGCGAATGGAGTGAGTTGGTATACACAGTCATAATTTTGCTCATTGTAACTTCCGTAACTAAGATTTTAACCTTCTACTTCGATTTCAAACTAACTTTCCTTGTAGTGATGTCTTCTAAAATATCCGCTAGCTCCAGATGGATTGTACAGATTTTCGAATAGTTTCAAAGCCCGGAAAAATCGGTCGTCCCTTCAAAATATTGGGGAAGTAGAAGCGAGGGTGGCTTTCCTGCACTCGAAGATGAGCGCCTTCTTCCGTGGAACTGTTATCACAAACTATACGCACATACCTATTACAAGCTAGTACATATCTATTACATAACATAACACTAGGAGTCCTTAGCAGCTGGTTTTCATCAAAATTTTATTGGAAGCAAAGTGCTAAACGTTTGACGTGCCGTTTTAGGGACAAACATACCTTCGTACAGAATTTTTGATGTTTGCTATCGATTTTGTACGGTGCTTGAAAAATTTGAAGGAATGCCGATTTCTAGCCCGCATTCAGACACAATATGCAAAAATGTTTCCGAGCTCCTGCAAGGTACCGTATTCACCTACTGTACAAGCAACCATAATCTTGCCAAATCTTGCTCAATGATGCAAAAAGTAACCACGTGACAAGAGCTACCCCTGTTCGAGCTCTAGCTTCTGTAGAGTTGTAGGAAGGGTCAACCATAGCGCTGTGAGGAATTTGATGACAAGTATGAATTCCTTTCAAAGAGCTATTTGTGCGACTCCTTTCTTTCACAAGTGGTTCTCTACTTGTGCCTCCCCCTTATGTCTGACCTTCCTACCTGTGCTGCCACCTACACTTGCGGGTCATTTCCAAAAACCGCCCTACTCATGTGATCACGGAATCTTCATGAAGCCTCTGAGACCGCGTGCTGCGCCAGGTGCAGCACGCCACCATACGAAAGAGGGACCTTATCTTCTTACCATTTCCTAGGGGAAAATTCATCAATAGGCTCTTCCGAAAACAGAAATTATCATTTAAATGGATTGTGATAGAGTTACTGCTAGATACTGATAAAGGACGACAATATCCTCCGGGGAACATATGTAACAGCTGTTCTCAATGGGTTAAAACGGCTTATGATGAAAAATATTTTCAAGAAAATTCCAAACAAATTGCACTGCTCCACTGATGGTTTTGATATTCCAGATTGAACCGATTACTGAAATGTTATCGTTTATTTGAGTTGTTCGATTTGGCTCAAGGACGCGTCCGGCAGGTAAGATTCTTGAGGATCATCAGCAATTTTTTTTTTTCAGTACAGGAATGGGGATGAGCGTGGAGGACCTTCACTTTAGTAGTGTACATATGATTAATCTGATTTTTTGTCAGGTCACCGTTTCCTTACTGAAAGTTGTGATTACCTGCGCATTAATCTTCCATTGGAACGCCTGTGCATTTTACACTATTAGCAAGTTCAGTGACACAGCATCATGGGACGGTGAGTCAATTTCCAATACTTTTTAAATTATTCAACCGAGTGAACTTTGTTTTTGGAGTTTTTTTTTCCAGTGGTTCGCCATTTCTCAAAATTTTTCTGCTCTACTTACCTGTTTTTTTGAGAACAGTGCACTTGTTCCCACATAGTGTATAGCAAAAGTATATGTCCCATTTGTCACAATAGCTCCGGTATTAATGAGCCGTTTCTTTTCAAAATGACTTGCAGGGGCCAGCCGATGTTCAGGTCAGTGTTTTTTTATCCTCCCAGAGTCAGTAACAACAATAACAGTTGGTACCTTACGACATTAACTTTACTTTCCATGATTCCAATCATCCGATTTCGCGTGCTTAGGACTAGTCAAGCAACGAGCAGGGAAGGGGTCCCATTTCTCGGGTTTTGAGCCGTTTCTTACGATTTTCCCTCTTTCGTGTACCACTCACTATTTCTGAGTTAATTTGAGAGTGGTTGCTTTTTCATCATGGTTCTGCTTTCTTTCGTGTACCACTCACCATCCCTGAGTTAATTTGAGAGTGGTTGCTTTTCCATCGTGGATTCTGCCTTTCAAGCATTTCATTGATGTATTTAATTTGATATGTTCTTGAGTATTTCGTGCATGGGATTTTGTGCATTTGCTCGGTTTTGCACACAATTGCGACCTGGAATGGAAGGAAGAAGGTTGAGCTGAATAGAGATAGGGTTTCATATCATTTCCATGAAAAACGATTTGAAACCCTATCTCTATGCAGGGATAGGACGGGGTTCCATATCGATTCTTCGAAACGGCAAAAAATTTGATAAAAGTGTTTTGTGCCTTTCACGCAATTCTCTTGCAGGTAAGGGCGTGCACCCTGTAATAAAGAGTATACAGTGCGTTTCATAACTATAAGGTCACCCTAAAATTTTGTATTTCCGGAACAAGCAGACGACTGGGAATTTTTCTAATATCACCAACTGATTCCCCATCATGAATAACCCTTGCCCCGTTTCATAATTTTAAGGTCACCCTGAGAAAAAGAACAATCAGATAAGATTAATGGCAGACATTAAAGAGTTAATAATCTATGGTTCCTCCTTTATCAAGTGGCAACATCAAATAGCCTCCGTGGCCTACTGGAATTGAGATTCCAAGGCAGCTGACCATCGATTCACTTGCGTGCTTCAAGGGTGCTTGTTTCAGCTCTTTTGTAGTTCCTAACTGGTGTTTATCCGCACGATACTCCGTGACGAAGATCTCTCTGAGAATTCTATCGAAATGTGACTAGAACTACAGATTAACCTTGTGTAGGTACAGCCAGCACAACTGTATGGTTTGAGAGAGTTTCCGTCAAATAAACTCCAGCTTACAGTGTAGCTGAGGACCATTTCGTCTCTCAGAGGGCCACACTTCATTCAGAAAAAGGATAGAAATCCACAAATATGAGGGGGAGCCTACATATTGCACGAATTATAGGCGTGAATGTGACATTTGACGATGACGAAGGCTGGCCGTGGCCATATATGCCAGACAAAATCACTGATGCCATCTTCGCCGACTGCTCGCACTTCAAGGTGAGCCTTTTCACATTTCACCAATGGAGTTCTTGCAACTTGCTACTTACATATCATTCAGCAAACTTGCAATTATCGTCAAATTTTCGTGGATGAAGAGAGAGGAAGCTCACCTTGTTGACTTATGGCGATATTGGGAGAACAGGTGAGTACCACTTTAGATATACTTGTCAAAGGGAAGCACGGAGGGTTATCGAACGTGAGCAGTCGGCTCTATTGCTGAGTAGATCCTAATGTCTCTAGAAAGATTGAGAAGTGAAAACTACCGTATCGAACGCTTTCTTCGCTTTCCAGTCATCCAACAACCAGTTAGAAATGCGCGAAAAATGTTCACAGTACAAAAGATAAACTCGTGCAGTTCTATCGCGAAGTACTGTTAAGTGTAGCGCTCCGCTAGAGGGATGGAGGCGATTGATAAGGTGGCGTGCATTTCTCGAGATTGAAATATCACCAGACCCTTGAGAACGAAGGAAAGGTCGAATCGTTGGTCAGACTAAGTTCTTTGCTAGACACCTTTGTGGCGGGAGTAGAATGGCAATAAAGTGAGAGTATCACCATGCAGGGCGGAAGTGGTGTAGTGGCAAGTGGCACGCTTACCACGCGAGCGGTCCGGGGATCAAATCCTGGGTCGTGGCCAACCAAGCCTTCCATCCCTCCGGGGTCGGTTAATTGGTACCAGACTTGTCTGGGAGGATAAAAACACTGACTTGTACATCGGCTGGCCCCGCAAGTCATTGTATAGGCCACATCGCATTCAAACGCCACTACGAATGTACAAATGGAAGTAGAATGCGTGCCGCATCCCAAAAAGGGATTGATCAACGGCAAATGCTTTATCTTTATCTTTATTGCCATGCAGATTATTAACGTTTGAAGGTTTTCCATTAATAATCCTTAGATCACATTAGGTTAAACCTTTTGTAAATAAACCAACATCTCATGACAGCTTCACATTTGTTTTCTTTCTGATGGGTTATTCTTTTGTTTTGCAATTTTTCAAACGAGAACATTCAGAACCGTCAAATTTGGCTTCTCAACCTTCACGAAGGCATACGTGCTCTCAATGTACTGGTCAGCATTAACGATGACAACATTGGGAGAACAGGTGGCAAACTAGAAAATTTGAACTGCATGAAGCAAGATGAATATGCTCATCTCTTTTAGCCATCTCCAAATGAAACGCTGCAGTCGGTGTTCGAAATTCTGGACACGATCATTGGAATGGTTCTCTTCGCCGGGATCATGGGAAGTGTTGGTGACTTGGTGGCGAAAGCAAATAAGGTGAAAGCGGACTGGCAGCAGAGAATGGACGGACTCAAGCAGTTCATGACATACAGGTTAGTAGTGAATAAGAATTTGAGCATAATA